CGTTTATTCAGCTTCTGAAAATGCAGTGACGTGCCCTGAATTGTGATATATCGATCGCCACATTGGTGTCAAACTTCGCAACTATAGATCGTAAGTCTCCAGCCGTGCTACTCCGTTTCTGTCTCTGCGTTTTTTTTTTTTTCATTTCGTGGCTGGCGATTCGCTTCGGAAAGCGACGTGAACCGTGAACGATCGATTTTTTCCCCCCCTCGATTCTAGAAAGAATGCGGGAAACCGCGTTCGAAAACGAAAGTTTGACAGCGTTCAACATCCACCAGCGTGAAACAGGAAAAGTGAAAGGACTTCATAGACTTCCCATACAGGCAATCTGATGCTGCCGTTTGTACGTGCAAAATTACTATTCTCCGACTGTTTTCTTGACCGACTTCGTGCTGCTGGAAAACGTTCTTGCGTGCATTTCGTACGTTCGCGCGCACGGAAATCGTTTTCGCGTCCAGATCGACGGCCGATCAGAGGCGTGAACGCGGCCTGTTCGTTTGCCAATCGATCGTAAGTCGTAAATGGCAAAACGGCACCAACAAGGTGGTCAATTGAATTGCAAGTGGCATGTGCAACGCGCAGAAAAGTGCAACGATCTACGTGACCGTCGACCTGCCGTGTCGAAGCTTGCACGACACGACACGTTTCAAATTATCATTTCGTTCTTTCTCGACGTGCTACGTCCGTCCGCTACGACGTCGCGTTCCCGAGACGCGGCACTTGAATTAAAAATAGTTGGACTTGGTGTAAAAACGCCAACGGAATCTCTGGTATTGCCACAGAAACACGAGGACGTACCAAGGGGACAGATTTCGCGGTACGCGGCAGATAAAACGTTCCCTGGAAGGGAAGAGTCGTCATTTCCAACTTGGATTACTTGTAAACATCATACAATAAACGAGTGTTTATTACAGTGTTGGCCATTCGAATGCATTTCTAATAATTCAAAATCGTATTGATCTTTCGTTGTTGATATTCTATTTGATTTAACGATAACGAGTTCGACCGATCGTGTAAGCGTTAACAATTGCAAACATTCTTGTCAACTTCCGTGGCCAAGACACAAATGACGTAAGAATTTCTAGGTTTTTCAATGGCAACAGTCATTAACCCAAGCGTTATCCAAGCCATTACGTCGAAACGTCAGACTTTCTAGAATGACGTGTCCGTCAGTGACATCAACGAGCATCCTCGAGTAACAGTCACGCATACGTTCCAACGAATTAACTCCGAAACGTTTGCGGGAGATCTGGCTGACTCCCACGAAGCCCAACACAACACGTGTCTTCGTAGTTTTTGCGCTGGGACGCTTCTTTGTCCGTCGTTTTTACACGTGACAGATAAAACCAAAGCTGGCAAACAAGCAAAATAACATCGCGGAAATTTGCTCGACATTCTGATCTGCAACAATATCGGTAGCAATGATAGGGACCAATTGGACGATGACGTAAAATGTCAGAGGGAGATAACATTTAAAATTCGAGGAGTGATCAAGAAGCTCTGTCTGATTAGAATTGACATCAATAGTACATTGCGTTTCATCGATTCACGACCGATCGATGCGCGACGAAACTGCGTTGAACCGGCCGCGATATTAAACAGCTTTGCGATAATCGTTTATCAACGAGAATCTCCGTACGAGAAACCGTAGACTCGGCTTCGCAATTACCGGTAAGTAACTTGATTCGGGATTCGCTGGACGCAAGGCATTTATCATTTCCCGGTAAGTTCACGTGGCGACTTGAAAAGCACCTTATCTTCCCGTACTGGGTACTTGGCGATCCATGGAATCGAGATTAGTCACGAATACATTTTGACAGAGAGCCGGCTATTTCTAACGCGCCTCGTGGCTGCGGGGGGGTGCGACCAATACGCGTATTTTTAGAAAATGATGTTATTAACCCTTTACGTTGTTTAAATACACTTCGACAGAAGTATCCTTTCGTCCGTTCGTTCGAAAAAACATACATATCGCAATATAACATCATTGGTGGATTTAATGTATTCAATTTAACGCGCTCGACGAGATAGAAAAGCGAGGCAAACTTCCTCACGAAAGCAAATGTATTCCCTGTTCACAGAAGCGACATGAATAAAACGGAACTGAACATCGTGCTGGGCACCGAGCCGGCGAGGACATCCTCCAGCGTAATTCACTCGCACATTCCGGTGCCTAGGATATCGAATGCAATTAAAGCTCAAGAAAGGTGTCCCCCGTCCCGCAGGGGTTCCTTCGAAAAGCTGTCCAGAGGAGTGTCGGTGGCCGCTCAAAGGGCGTCCTTCGAGAAGCTCGACGCTTCCGTTCAGCAGCAACGATCAAGGAACAATAATTTGTCGAGCTCGAGCATCGAGATGCGGAACACCGAGACTGAGAAACTTGCTCACCAGACTGCGACTGTTAACTGTAAGACGAACGAGCCGGTCGCCGTGGTGAAATTGAACAGGAGCAATAGCTTGGAGAGCAAGTGGAAGAACAAATACGAGGAGTCGGAGAAGAGGAGGAAATTGTTGCTACAGAAGAGCGAGGCCGGTAATTAATAATTAGTAATAAGTTTCGCGGCGTAATGAGCGTTTGTATGGGGCCGCCTAAAGTCGTTAGAGAACTTTATTATGATTCCATTAGTCATCATTAACGAAGTGACGAAACACGGCTTCTTCCCTCCGCTTGCGAGCATTAATTTGATTAAACAGCTGGGACAGCAGGAGGTTGGTTAAATACGGCGAACAGCGCCCATTGTACTTACAACTTTCCTTCCGCACGTATTTTTCCCGGAATTTCCTTCTTTTTTTTTTATTTTTTTTTTTTTACTCTTGAAGAATTGCGCTCTCTCGATACTGAGATCTCTCGTTGCGATTTTATTTCTTATTTTCGACAGATCGATTCGAACGGCGATGAAACTACTAGTAGTAGTAGTAACTTGTATCTCTTCGAATCGATTGATTTGTTGTTGCAAGAAAGATCAAGGTGTAATGGACTTACGTAAAATAAGAGCAACGGACACGTATAGGAAGGGAAGTGGCTGACGCGTGATTGTAGTTCACGGTCAATCATTTATAATGCAACTTAGTCGTTATTCGGTCGTGATTCATTCCTGCGTGCAAAATGAATTCTGTGACGTTTTCTTAGTCACTTCCACATACGCGATGGAATTACAAATTAATCGTAATATCGCCTGTGATATCGGGATCTGTTTGCATCCCGTGAGTGTATTTGCACTGTCAAAAATATATGTAATTGCCCTTTTTTTACAGCGAGCAAGGAACATGCTGATTTGGAGAGGAAATACCAACAGTTGCAGAAACAAAATAGCACTTTGCAGTCGCAAGTACAAGAAAAAGAGCAGAAGCTTCAAAAATTGCGGACAGGTGATTATTTACCTATTCCACAAAATTTTTTAAAACTTTGTCATTTTTTGAATTTTCTTACAGTTTCGGAAGCGGTGTGCAAAGAGTACGAGCAACTGAAACATCAGTATGACACTGAAACAAGTGCTATGCACAAAGCTATGCAACAAGCGTCGCAGGTAAATATCAGATTTTTCACTTTGTTCAATATTGCGCGAAATCTTGCAATTTAATGGTACTCTTGCACAATACGCAAAAAAATTGAAAATTACTTCCAGTGGTACAGACAGAATCGCGAATTGAAAAGAAGATCGCAGATCATAACTCAGAAGTTGCTACAATCGAATCCGGAGGGCTCGCTGGATCTCGAGGTACCAGACGAGGTCGACTCGAATTTCGAAGATCTTGATCAGCTGAGAGAAACGGTGAAAGGTACAAACGCGAGATTCATCGCTTACGGTTTCACCGTTAATTATACAAGGTACTTATGAGAGTGGCTAATTTACAGAATTAAGCAAAGAGATAGCGAGGCTTCAGACGGAACTGCATTCCGCTCGCCTTCAAGAGTTCGAGGCCCAAGAACAGGTGACACATTTGACTACGCAATTGGACGAGGAGAGAACCCTCAGGCAAAAATGTAATTAAAAATACTTGCACGACCCTCCAATGTTCGTCCAGTCGAGATGATTTAATCATGATATTTATCAAGTAGGTGAAGAGAAGGTCAGTGAAATGAAGATGCAAAAAGAAAATATGGAAAGAGTGACGAAGATGGTTGCGGAGGAGGTACAAGCGTTGAAGACACAATGCGATCGCGAGAGAGAGACCGCCAAGATTATGAAGATAGAAGCCGAAAGGGTAAAATGCCTTTAACTCATGTTATTAGACATTGAAGACTGTAACAATTTAGAACTTTTAATTATTTTTAAACTTTTTATTAAAATTGAATTTTATCAGAATTTGATGAAGGATATTTCAACAGGTACAAAAAGAGAGGAACGTGCTGGCTCATCAGAGCGCACTCCTGATGGCGGAAGTTGGCGATGACCCTAATGGAAGATTATTAACCGTCCTTCAAGAGGTGGAGTCTTTGAAGAGATTATTGGAGGAAGAGCAACAGAGTCACGCTTCTCACATACAAATGTTGGAGGAGAAATTAGAGGAGAAAGAGTCGAACGTCGAGTTCGAAATTGTGGAGGAAAAGTTAAAGCTGGCCGAGTCGGAGCTGGAAGTTGTAACGCAAAGGGCGGAAAGGGCAGAGAAGTCGGTGGAAACTCTGGAAGGAGTAGTTCAAAGTTTGAAGGCGAAAATCAGTGAACTGGAAGAGAAGCTTTCCAGGCCGCCGCCGCCCCCTTTGCCTCCGCCTCCGCCGCCGCCGATATTCAACAACGGTGGACAATCGACGATAAAGTTGCTGACAAAGGAAAAAATAAATTCGGAACGAAACGCGGTGACCGACATGGAGAATATGCTTGGAATCACGAAAAAAACGCCAACGGTTGCGCAACAGCCTGGTAATTATGTTTTAGATTTTGCAACTGGTTAAGTAATTGCGACAACATCGCGCGTACGATGTATAATTTTTACTTCTTCGTTCTCCAGCTATCGACGATATTATCAATCAGATAAAAGGTGGGCGTTTCACGTTGAAGCAAACGGATGTAAGTTTTCTTTTTTTTTTCTGTATTCGTGGAAATTACTCTTTTGCGCGCGAAAGTTACGTATTTTCGAAGTAAAATGATTCGTTGCAGAAACAAAGGGAAGAGGAGAGAAAAAGACGACAAGAAGCGGAAAGTGCGCCGCCAGCTGTCTCGGAAATGTTAAATATTTTAGGTACCATGAGAAGGAGAGCCAAACCGATAAAGCAGTCGTTAAAATCAACAGATTCACCGATATAAAGATAGATGTTTACATAAACGCAGAAAACTCGTTTTGAGTTTCGAACATAAGTTACGTATTATTGTTGAGATATTAATCGTGACACGTAATTTTTTTAAGTAAAGATCTGTTCTATGAGAATACTGTTTATATTATTTATTTAATCGAAAAATAAATTTTTTTTACCACTGAACAAAATATGTACATTGACAGTTTTTAAAAAATATAAATGAATATGAATGAATGATGGAAGACAGATTGCAGTAAGCAGTATGAAAATGTTTATTATAAAAAGCTGATTACATTTACTGTCAAATACAGTAGTTCATTGTACAGTAGATTGTCAAAGAAATCATCTTTGAAAAGCGTATTATCTTCCTTTAATATACAAAAGGAAGGATTTTCTTTTTTTCCAGGAATATGAAATAAATTATTACAAGTCTTTCAGATTGATTAGGAAATCTGTTTTTTTATTTTGTCAATAATTGGTTGCAATTTGGTAGCTTCAAAGAGAAGCACTCTCCTGTAAGGTATCATTTCATCATCTGACTCAGTCCACGTTCCAGACAAAGCACTATCTGTCTCTTTCTCAACTGAAAATTCAAAACTGACTGTTGCCTCTTCAGCAAAAATTTCTTCCTCTGGATTGCTCCATAGAATAGATGGTTTTTCTATATTATCTTTCTTTTTCTGTTTCAATTTTTTGTCTAGTTTTACGTTTTCCATTTTATAGAGTTTGCAGATTAATACGTAGTACGAAAAGTTGAAGGGCACCTTTCTAGTGTTTGCTCTTTTTATGTCAGAAATTAAATTTTCCAGAAGTGGCACAGATATTTGAGCTGGAATATTTACAAATCTTTCATTAATTAATAAACCTAATACTTCGGTGTCATTTTCAAGAACATGTTTTATCATTGTATTTGCTGCATCTGTTGCATGTTCATTTGCCATTTGTCTTAATAATTCTCTGAGTTGTTGCACACAAGGATAATTCTGAAATAAAATCGTTCATTATGACTGACTCTGAATGACTTTTATACTAATTAAATAAAATATTTACCTGTTTAAAAGATAAATTAATTACTGTAGTAATACCAAATACATCATTGATATCAGTATCTTCATTGTCAGACTCGTCTAAATCTGCTGACTGTTTAACAACTGAACCCACATGGTTTTCACGGATAATTAAATCTGCCAGACCACCTAAATCAATATGAGCTTTCAAAAACAGTTGTTGTAATAAAGTTTTAATGCCATGATAATCCGGATCCACTGGATATCTTCCTTCAAAGTCCACTTGAATTTCCATTCCCTGTTGAAAGAATTCTATATTTTAACCATTATTAGTATTTAATATTTAATATTAATATTTTTATTGTAACAGATTAATCGTAAAATATGAAATTTAAAAACATTTACTTAACTTAATTACAGAATACGATTCAAAAAGACTCATATTTTCTCTTCAATCATAATTTTTATCACAAATTAAAAATGTCTTACTCGTTAACAACACTGTTAACAATACGCCTCTAATTAACACTTTGTTGATTACGACATGTTATACCAATAATTCTCACAATTATTGCAAATTGTAAATTTTACGTATTACGCATATCCACTTAGTTATCATATTTTATTTTCAATGAATATCAAATATTACGAAGACAATTCTCGAACAAATGTGAATCAATGGCCGCGTGGTCAAAAGTAGGGTTAAGATCTAAGACTAAGAACATTTTATACTGATTTTTCTAAATTACTTACCTGTTCATCTAGTTGTTCCTTCTCGTTATCCTCACTGCCTGACGAACTTTCGTCATCATCGTCGGGGAATTCGAAATTTCGCTGAATTTCACGCTTCTTGACCGGAGCAGCCATTGTCACAGACTGATACTTCTGCTGACTTTAGATCACGTGACGTGTTATTGCGATTGTTTTCGAGAGCATTAAAAGTAAGCAACTAATCGATATTTATTTGTTCAAATATGAATTATCTATTTATATTTATTAAAGAAACAACAATAAATATTTCTGTTTATTTTTAATAAATGTAAATTACGTGTTACGTTACAATGTAAAAAAGTATTTACAATATGACAAAATATTTAAAGTATAAAATAATAAGAATTTGTTAGTACTTGCCAACAAATATAAATCACAGCATTGTAATGTTATAATCGAATAAAATACTTCTTTCTGTGTGTATTAAATATCAACTTTAATATAAAGTACACATTTCAATTAGTTCCAACACCTGTCGATAGATGTCGCATCATGCATATTTTCCTTGACGCGCGACGTCAGCAATCAGTCACGGCTCATTTAGTGCGCGAGTATGTTGTGTCTAGTGTCGAGCAGATCTTACAAGTTTTTCCACCACAAAGGAAATGGCTTCAGGCGAGAAGAAAAGGTAAGCGAACTTAACAAACCGTGTTATTCATGCCAAAAGAACATCAGATTAATTTAATGTACAAAAAACGAACAAAAGAAACGCGTTTCGCGATCACACTGAGAATCGTAAATTTCGTATCCGCCGCTGTGGAAAGTGTCGCCATTTGTCATGCGCCTCGAACGTACCGCGCAAGCGAACTGTTCGCTTTTTTTTCTTTCTTTGAATAAAGCCTTGCCATTTCGCCGTTTATCTCGTTGAATATTTGATCACGGCAAAGAGCAATGTACGTAATGCCGCTTGGGAAAGCTGTCTCGGATCGTTGTTATCGCATGCGTTCGATAGGCTTCGACGTGGCGGGAGGACGAAGTTTGAATTTCGAACGCTGGCTCGCGTTCAGTGAGGCGAAAACGCGTCCGTTGTCGGCACTGCGAGCCAAAATTCGATTAAAGTTCTTGCGCATGGGCCGAAGGAAATCCTGTTTTCTCAAATTTCCCGGAGTCTGTCAGGTGGCACCACGGCGTTCACCGGTCCGGGTACATCGCATCGTACAATACGGAGCAGTGCGATCGCTTTTTGTAGGTTATAAAACACACGGGAACCTATAACCGTGCAAATCCCCGAGAAGTCATAGAGTCGAAAATATTCGCGCGAAAGGAAAGAAAGAAAGAAAAGAAAGGAAAGAAAGATAGACGACGGTGACCCTTTCTATCGTGAACTCCCCCGTGAATATTTCGTGAGTGCTTTGAGCTGTGGCGGGCGGTGAGATGGCTGTCTCTCTTTCTCTCTCTCTTCTAGTACCTGTACTTCTATATATCTGTCTCTGTTTCTTTCTATTTATCTGGTGTTTTTATAGATGTTCGGCTGAATAGATGTCTCGAACACTGTACATTCCCCCTTCGCGATTGTACCTCGTGATACATATACATAACGTGTATATATATCGTGTATCGATGTACATAATGTCTCGATGCATTAAGCACCAGCTCGATTATCCGCTATGTACAATTCGAAGTAAATAATTTCAACGAAATTTTACGAGACGCGAAAGAACCATGGGATCTGTCATAACGTCCAGCATCTTTTTCTTCACGTTTCCTATCATTAATATCTTCTTTCTCACAGTAATTATAATGTCAATTGACATCGGCTTTTTTCGTAAAGAAATACATCGAAACGAGTAGATAATTTAACAAGTGTTTCTCGTAGAAATCATCACGTTCAACTGAAATTTTATTCTAAATTGTATATTTTCTAGCGATAACATATGTCTCGCGTTTATGCAATACTTCATCCTCTTTGCAACTAGCAATTAACCTTACTATCGTGGAAAACAAACAAAGATAAAGCTTCTTTTCTTCTCTCGTTTCAAGTGTCGTTGAAATTATTCGACAAGCGGAAAGATTGAGCTACTCTTAGACACCGGGCTACCCTGTATATACCATACGTTCACACGACTGCAATGTTTTTCGTTTTCTTGGCTGTTCGGTGTCTTTCTTTTTCTTTTTAGCGCTGTTCCATAGCATATAGCTGTCTCACCTGCCTTGATCTGTACTACCTCTGCGTTTCGTTTTTACCCTATGTGCGCCTCCTCTCGCGAGATGCGCGTGCCCGAAGTGGAAGTTGGTTTTTCTCTCAACCATCGCGTACGACATCGTTCTCATTTTTCGATCTAGCCCATTCTCCGAGCTACGTCTCCGCGATATTATGACAGACGAGAGCTTTCTATAGAGACAGGCCGTGACCTAATACAGAGGCTTGAGAGAATTTGCGAGATGATCGAAAGACGAAAATTGAAAATGAACTGTTCCGCGGACGTATATAACGGACGACGTGGACGTGAGATCTCGTTGAATGGAGGCGATCGAACGCGATTGCCGATTAATTGCGCTGTTCCTCCCCTGTTCTCTAATTCGATAGCCTGCTACTGATAACACGCAAACCACCGTGTCCCGTTTGATACAGTGGAGACATATAAGGGAAACCCGAATACACGTTTTCACGGTTAATAGGCAGAGGCCATAGATGATGTTATCATCTCGTTAGCCCGGCGGATTTCGTTTATTGATTTCTCCTCGCCGTTTTCTATCTCGCAGACGGCCTTTAAGACGACGTCTCGAAGTTCTAGTTGAAGATCCAGCTTTACCCTTGTCTGGATGTTCCATTGGAGACGGACGT